GTTTATCCCTAGGAGGTACCAGTCAAACCAAAATAGAACGATCTTAGAAGGGAAGGGATATAATGAAATTTCTTGATTGGCTCTTCCTAGAGGAACGATCTATTTCATTTGACTGATAGAGCCAACAAACATTTCTAAATAAGCGCTATAGCTTGTTAAGCATTGGGAGGGTGTACTGCAGACACTTGTATGATTTTTTGTTCTCTAAATTATGTCTCTCTCTCCCTTCTTTTCTTTATTCTCTATTTTCTCCCACTTTTCTTTTGTTCGAAAAATTATAAGAATGTTACATATAAGACAAATCTCCCTATATAATTGCCATTATAATATTAAAAAATTACAGCAATGCCACATATAAGACAAATCTCATTATATAATTGGTTCAATAGCATTCAAAAATTACATTACTGCTACATACAATTATTTACAATTATGACATCTTATAAATAAAATGCAATATCTCTTCTTTCTCAACTCTCTCTCTCTCTCTCCTATTCTCTATCTCAACTTTTATTTATTCATTTATTTATTTATTTTATTATTACTATTACCTAAACATTTATTTATTTAATAAAATTAAATAAATTATTTATTTTAATAAAATAAGTTGGTAGAATAAAAGAGATGTGACATTAAGAGATAGATTTCAATAAACATTTATTTATTTATTTAGAAATAATTTACTAACAAATTATTCTCTCCTCTTAAGCCCAATATTTAGTGTTGTCAACGGATAGGCCCTACCTTTCCCTACTTTTTTCTTCAAACCAAACATAGCCATAATGTGTTTTCATTTCCTCATTAGAGAAATGACCCAATTAGGGTGTCCGGATTTGCTCCTCAATGAGGAGTGCTTACTGAACACACCACACAGCTTTTTCAGTCATGCTTTGGGAACATCTCATGTACTTAATTTTGTCATTCATGGAAAGATTTTCCCAATGCAGAGCTGTAATGTGTTGATAGTTTGTGTGATGTAAAGAGCAAAGTGAATGAACAGAGCTGCAATGTACAGCACGTGCAACCATAAGAGTCCAGATCTAGTAGATACGACACTGTAAGCAAAGCACACAATAAATATTCTATGCCTATATCAAAAGCTGATTTTAATCTTTTTCAAGGGTAGGCTGGGGGTATTTTAAGGGGTAGGTGTTAAAATATCCTTTCAAGTGCTTACACAATGTGTTCATAGTGTGTGTTTAACTGATCTGGATGGTCATCACAAAGCCCCCACTCTGGCTCCTAACTATTATGCCAACTTGTAGTCTTTCCATGGGTAAATTGCTGAAACCTAGGGTGGCAATTGCACGGGTTGGGTTGGGTTTGGTTTGGGTTGAGTTTTAACCCAATCCATCTAATCTGCCAACCCATTAATGACCCAGTTATATAAAATTAAATGGGTTGGGTTCAACCCAAACTCGCTTTAACCCAATCCAACCCGCCCAAACCCATTAATCTTATATTTATGGATTTACAAAACAAACTCTCTCTCTTAACAAATAAGTTGGTTGTAACTTGGTGGTTATTGTAGTTATTATTTACATAAGTGGTGAAGGTTCAGATCACATTACATGTATGTTATTTTTACACAAGCGACAAAGCCATTCGACTATGTTTGGATTCTGGGTTTGACCGAACCACTTAGGTTCAAGGGTGGTTGAACCATTTAGATCTAGATCAATCTGATCGGACCAGACCGGACCGAACCAATTCAGTCAATGATGGACTAACTTGGACCAAACCATATCAGGTTTGTGTACGGGTTTAGGACCGGAAGTGGTTGACCCGAACCGGGTCAATGTAGCTAAATCGGGTCGGTCCATATTCGGGTCGGGCCGTGTGGATATTGGTCGGGTGGACGGTCCAGATTGGGCAAAGCACGCGGAGGTCGAATCATCCCGCCTCAAACCATTTTAGATTTGGGTTGCCCTGAATCGACGTGTATCGGGTCGGGTCAGAGTGTGTACATCTTGGTCCGACCGGACGGCCCAAATCGGACAGAGCAAGCGGCACCGAACCATCCCTCTCGAGGTCTATTTTGGATTCGGGTCAACCCAGATCGGTATATGTTGGATCGGGTCAGACCGTGCTGAACTGATCCAGACTCGGGTCAAATTGATTTGGATTTATGTTGGGTGAAGTGTATTGATTCAAGAAAAAATTAAATTTAGTCAATTATTAATAGAAAGTTAATGCATTAATTATAAATTATTTAATTCAAATGAAGAAAATTAAAAAAAATTGCTAAGGAATTAATACTTGTGTCTATAATGGTTAACACAATGGTTATCCACAACCCAATTAAATGGGTGGATTGGGTGATGGGTTGATCACATAACCCACCAAGTAAATGGGCGGGTTGGATGGGTTAGATACTGGGTGGGTTGGGCGGGTTTAGCAGGTTGGGTTAAAAATTGCCACCCCTACTAAAACCTCCCCTGAAGTTTGGTAATGCAATCACCTTTCCTGAACTTTCAGACACAAACACAAGTAGACCCCCTCTGTTAGAATCCCCTAATAGATGCATGAAAGTGTCCAAAGTACCCATACAACTACTATTGAGTTGAAGCTACTTTTTATAGGAAAAACAATACAAACTTTATAAACAACAAAAAAAATAGAGAATTTAAAGTTTCAGAGCAATTGATATGAAGGGTAAATTTGAAAAATAAATCAATTTAAAAAAAGAGATACGAAGGATTTGAACTAGTGATTTATATGAAGAGAGATTTTAAAAATAAACATTTTAGTCAAAAGTTACTTCATAGGTATTTTGGATATTTTTTTATAGAAGATTCTAACAAAAAAAAGGTATAATTGCAACTATATTAGAAAGTTGAAGGGAGAATTTAACGCAGATTTCGTCAGTAATTCACCCTTAAATTTAATTTAAGAACGTTACGAGGTGGGAGAACCCATATGTGAGTAACAAGGGATGTCACTGAATCCGATTGCTTGGCCACATGCAGTTCTGATAATTGGGCATTAGCCATTCAGAGCAAGGGTCGAAAACTTTACATCTAAAACCAATCTACACCATCCTTTTCAGTTTCCGTGCATGGTAGAGAACAACAGCACATTTAATAAACACCGATCGAGAGTCATCAATTCGCCACCATTGCACCAACCATTTAGAGTTAGAGAGATTCCAATTCGAATGCCGAGTCAATTCTGCAACTTGAAGCCACACTGAACCAAATGAAAGCCATGGGTGGACATTTGAGGAACCTATTTTGCTTAATAGTTACAGTTGCTTCACCACAGATTGGGCATGAGGGGTCGACCTTAGAGGCGAAATGGCCAAGTTTGTGTCCACTGTTGTTATATCTTGGCGCTACTAGAAGTGCTATCAATAGTTGAGGTGGTGGCAGTGGTTATATATAGAGGAGGAATTAGACTACGGCGGTGGTGAAAGACGATATGGATCTTGTTATTTGATTATATAATGTTTTTGTCTTTAATTTTTATTTGCACATATCAGTTTTTGAAATGTTTCTATCTCTTTTGCAGCCAAAATATATAGTTGGTGCCTTGTTTTTAGGTGAAAAGATTGGAGAACTCGATTTTAATAATATCCATTCATTTCCAACATTGACCTCCCAAGGTCACAAAGTTGCAAATCACTCGTAAACCTACGGGCAATGGCAATGGCCTCTAGGCCTTTTTGGCCAATGACCCAATAGTTGAGATAACCGCTCAGGCATCCTTCTGAATGTGTAGGATCAAATTTGCATAGTTGTCAGTTCTCCATGGCAAGCCCTGTTTTGTTGTGTCCACACCTTAATGCCAATACCAAAAAATATAAAAGGCTGTGTCTGTGTTTGGTTGCAGTGCAATTTTATTTGCATTAATACAAATGCATATGCATGGGAGTGAGTGCAAATGAAAAAATGTAAATTTTGTTTTGGGTTTTACTTTATTCTGCTGCTTTATGTCTTAATTTACTTCATTTGCACTGCAAAGTGCAATCAAACAGAATAAACTAAAATTTGAAATAAAAATAAATCAGAATCTATGCTCAAATCATTTGCACTTTCATAATTTTGTATCACTACAAATTTATTTACATTGCAAACAAACACAGTCAAAAGAAAAATAAAAGTATCAAATCCGATTAAACATTGGATCAGATTCGGATCACCCCTATCCAATCCGATATATACATGTTATTTATTTATTTATAATATATCTATATATGTTATTTATATTGCACTTTTGTAAATTTTTTATAGTATTTATTTTTTATAAAAAATGTGTATATATACGATGAAAATAGTTGAAGAAATATTTCTATTTTTTTGTTTTTTTCTTTATTTAAACTATTATATTTTCTTTGCCTTTTAATAATTTATTAATTTTTTAAATAAAATCAGATCGAATCATATTCAGATATCCAACATCTTTATCATATCCGAATTCGAATCAGTATTTATAAAATCCGAACCAGATTCAAATATACCCTGATCCAAATCCGATCTAATTCGTTTCCATCCTACCTCAACACCTCATGCACATAAATCTAAATGTTTTTTTTTGTTTTTTAATAAATGTTACAATGACTTCATGCACAATAAACGCCATTATATCCTAAGACCCGAACATAGCCTAAGGGTAGTCCATAAAATGGATTGGATCCAAGTGAACACTCAATTTGGATATGAACGTGAAGTGTGGAACACAAACCTGATCTGAATTCAATTTCCAAGTCCTTATTGCCCATGGAGACCAGATACTATTTTATTCTCAGACTGAAATTTGGTACAAACAGAGACAAGGACAGAGTTGGTTATTATGTAGCTACCTAGAATAATTCATTAGTTTAGGGAAGACTACAACTAATCCTGCCCCTTTCACTTGGAACCTATTGGAACAGCCCTCTATCTTGTCTCTGCATTTGCCATTTAGGTATCCTGAATAGTTGATCACAGCAGTTTGTATGACCCGTACAGTTTCCAGAACCTTCACGGGAAACATCCCTCCACCCATCCAGTAATACCAGTCAATATCCGAAGAAACATGTTTTAAGGCCCATGGTTGAATTCCATCTTACCCAACAGAGAGAAAAGGAGAGGAGATGGATGATTGACTTTTATGTTGCTGTGTCTCAAACTTGAAACTAAGAAACTAAACAAGTAGTCCAAAACAACAAAGACATGGAGTCCAGTACTGCAAAAACCTCTGTTTTCTGAAGTATCGTCCTTGATTCATTTTTCAAAACACAGCCACAGGTGACACATGAATTTTCAATTTCAGTTATACTACATATATATAATCTTTGTATCCCTCCATTTTTTGGGGTTACGTGTTACAGAAATAGTTTCGTGGTTAGAGAAGCAGCTGCAATGGAGCAGTGGAGGCATAAGTTCCGAACCACTCGTTTCCCTCTGGTATAGTTTCAAGCTTGGGCTTCCAGTTTGTCGTTGAATCAACGCCATCCCACGCTGGCTTATCCCGTGCCAAGAGTAGCTCCTCCAACGACACTGTCTTTGACAACAACAGTTGAAGTTGTTGTTTGGTTATAACCACTTTAATTCGCTTGAGACAGCCTGGGCGATGGGCATCAGCCGAAGAGGGAGATACTGGTGGAGGAGCAGCACTAGGACTAAGACAAGCAGAAGAAGAAGAAGAAGAAGAAGAAGGGAGGAGGTAATACATGTGCCCAATCTTCAACTCATAATTAGGTGGGAGATATCGGAAAGCTTCTTGCGAGATGCCGATGCCACAGTCGCTAAAGTTCAACAGAACATCCTTTACGAGGATCGAAGCTCTGTATTCTAAAATCTTGCCGTCAGACTTGACAATCCGTAGAACTTTATCATGCCCAGCTCGGGTACGAGGAAATTTTCTCTTGAACCTACAAAATACAAAGCAACTGACCATGATGGTGCTTCTTGGGGAAGAACAGAGTATTTTGTGAAGAAGATGAAGAACAGAGAATCTGAATCGGAGGCAAGCCAGAACTAACAAGTGCTAAAGCTTTAAAGATGGAGAGACGTGTGAAAAAGTGAGGGAAGGAATTTAAAAGAGACAAGGGAACAGAACATTTATGATTTATCAATTAACGTTGGCAAATATGGGGTGTTTTATATTTGGGTGGAGAGTAGAATTAGAAAGGCAGCGAGGTTTCCGTTGCACAAGGAATGAAGGAAAGGCAAAGGCAGGATGGATTTGGAATTATTTGGATTTGGGGAGTGGATGGCAAAAAGCAAATAAAGAAGAAAAAAATTTGACCGAGGAACAGGTAAAATAGCAATGGATAAAAAATGTCAACACGCATGCAATAGGGTCGGTTAGTGGAATGTGGCGCATTGATTATGCTCTACCAGTAAGTCATCTCTCTCTCTCTCTCTGGTTAATTGGTTATTACTGAAAGCTTGCCTATTGTCTATTGTATCCTTATCACATGGACCCTTTACGCCGTCCATGTCCATGTGTATTGTGTAGTAAGAGGTCGAGGTCGGAAAGCAAATGGACCGAGTCCCCGGACCCGGAGCATAAAACCAAATGGGACATTTCTTGGTGGGTGGGTCGGATAAATATCGATGGTAACTCTATAGGGGGGACACATGACCCATCTGGGTTCTGGGAAAAGATTCATCCACTTTTGGAGGGTTGTGGCACAAGACGGGGCCCATAACAGGGTCAGGAAGCCCACCAATGACCATACCATGTAACTGCCTCCTTTTATTACCAACAGACATTGTCTTCTATTGCCCCATAAAATATTCGGAATTGCTACTTATGTCGCTCCACTCCATATTCTTGGTGATGTCAAGGAAGCGTAAGCCATAGGTGTACTGCTTCGATTTATATTCTAGTCTCTAGTTGGGTGCAACCAATCACCAACGTTTGTATTTTCTTTCTGATGAAGTTTTTTTTTTTTTTTTAATTCTGATAAAGTTTTTAAATATCGATATAGGCTCATATGCCAGATATGTTTGGTCACTTTTAGTTTTTTTTTTCTAACAGGTTGGTTCAGGAGTTTGTATAATACTTATCTACCCCCTACCCCTGAAACAGGTCGGATCCCATATCTAGGGGTGTCAATTGGACTGGATTTAGTCTAATCTGATCCAGTCCAATGTGAATCCATTACAAATAGACCAGATTCAATCCAATCCAATGAATAATTTAGATCAGTCTAATTTTAATATCTGGACTATTCAATATGTTCAAATTTGTTATAATTTAGATTAGTTCTAACCCAAACCTGGTTCATAGACACCTATATTCTTATCTTCTATCAATGGACCAGATATCGGCTTAATCTAACCCAACACATTATAAATTCATTACTGATGGATCAGATCCAATCCAATCCAATAAATACTTTGGGCCATTAAATCTGGAATAGTCCAATTCAATATGTCTTGGTTGGTCCATCCCCTAGCTACTGGCTCACCAATATGATATGCATTGGCCAATACGCCCTCCATTGCAAAATTTTAATCCTTACTTCTAGTAGATATAATAAGGAAAATACGAATAGATTTATGGATTAATTTATCTGTTGGGCTAGTCATCATCAGATAAATTTGCAGATAAAGGGAGAAAAACAACAAAATTAGTTAACAAAAGAATAAATGAATGGTTCATTGGTCAACTATGATTTGTAAGATTGCTAACGTACCAGTGCTGAGCTAGATTTGTATATGGTTTAAAGTTATGGTAGACATCGTATCAATGTTGTTAAACTTACTTGGACAGAAAACCATGAATAAACCAGAACCCAGATAAGTTACGGGTTCACCGGTTCAACCATGACAACAGTACTGGTGGACATAGTGGAGTTTTTGGTTGCAATTATGTGGTGAGGAGAGGATGTGGGTTGGTGTTCAGCACTTGCAACTTTATGGGAGTAGGATGGATGGAGAATCTCAGTGACTGGACATGACTCGGGAGTGGGTTGGTCTTTTTATTCACTAATCCACGGTCGCAGAAAGACGTAGAGGGAAGATGAATAACAAATCCAAAAGCAATTGACTGGCAACCCATCTCCTCCTACTTTTTTGTTAATAAAACTACTTTTTCATTTATTCCTTGTTAAAAAAAAAAAAAAGTTAGCCAGTTAGGTGGATGAAGAAATATTTAAATGGTTGGAGGCTTAGGAATATTGGGTCGGGGCTTCCCACTACGATTCTAGGAAGACGATCAACGTCACCACAAGTATACTTTTTACGCTAGGCTCCAAACGCCAAATCCCCTTGATTAGGCAAATCTGGTGGCCTACAATCAATTTATCAAAGTCGCTTACATCTGCATTAGATGTAGAATCAATCATACGAGTTACGTGGTTAAAATAAGATGCTTCTTGCTTGTTGAGTTAGGACTTGGGAGTGAGCCACTGAGGGTCCAACAGAATTCACAAGTCACAAGTATATATATATATATATATATATATATGGATGAACTAACCAAGTTTATGCTGCGTGCACACATACAAGACTATATATGACAATGAAATTCAGCATACGATCACTGATATTTTCATTCTTGATTGGGTTACGTAAGCCATTGTACATGCTTTTTTTTCTAGCAGATCCCTGGCCTGAAACTTACAACCCCCCACCCCTCCCCCGCAATCAATCAAGGGGAAGATTTTACAACAATCCAACACAAATGGTTGGATTCCCCACCCACCCCACTCGCCTTGATTGGTTGAAGGCCTTTTGTATAGCAGTTAGTGATTCCTTTGTTGCGATCGGTCTGGTTCTTACAAATTTTTGGAATTTTATCAACTTCTTTAGACTATTTTCTTGTAGGAAGAATTTAGACAATTCTCAAATTTAGTCTATCACTGTGGCTTGGAGAGAGGGCGTCTAATACCTTCCTTCTCCCAATCCAATTAAATCTATGATCAATCTCTTAGTTGAATGGCTTTGTAAATCAAATTTTCAATACTAAAATGAAAATCCATTTTCTCTCTTAATTGGGTGGTGACTCCTTGTTTTTAAGCAGGTAATGGGCTTCCCAGAACTCACATTCATGGTGTGGATAAATCAGAAAAACTTTGGCTGTTGGTTGTTGGGGGCCAACAGCCTATGCTGTTGAGAACATTTTTGGGAATGCCACATTGCCAATAGAGTGGGGTAAAATAGTAATTACCCCTATTTCTTTTTAACCATAAAAAACGCAGACATGGGTGTGAATCGGTGAAAGTGTCCAACCTAAAAACGCTCACAACAGCCAAAATTAATTCAGATAAATCATTCCTTTGTCAAGAAAGGGATAAAATTACTTTTCAGCAAGAAAGTTTTTAGAAACAAAAGTCAAGACAACTATGCTTTAATAATGGAGATATAAAAAAAAAAAAAAGAAATCCGTGGTCTAGATCAAGGATACGGAAGGGGGATGAATTTTTTATCACAAGGACATTACTTCCATTTTTGTAAACTACTTTAAAAAATTATTCTCTAATTCTCAAATATTTGTATTTGATACTGCAGATATTTGTATGTGTACTTCTTCCAAACTGAGTTTAAGGAGAATATAGCCTTAATTAAGTTAAACAAGTTGTATTTAATATAGTCTAAAGGTTTCGAGTCCAGATGGCATGCCAACTTTGGTCTTTTAAGAATTTTAAGATTTGATGAGATCAAAAATCATTTAGTATGTTTAGTAGTTATTTATTTTTACATAGGCTAAATAAAATATTTATAGTTATTTATTTTTACATAGGCTAAATAAAACATTTATTTCCTTTATCCAAGGATAAAAGGTATGCCTGAACCACAATGTTGGACTATAGGCCCATTAGATCTCAATAGTATAATTTACAAGTCATATCCAAAGTACTTGCCTTCAGACTTCATGTGTATTTCTGGTAGTCAGGCTGCATTTATATTAAGGTGTCAAATGCTTGATAATGTCATTGTCATTTTTTGAAAGCGAAAAGAAGGTACATCAGGAGCAAATTTCTTCTGAAAACCATCCAAAAAATTAATTAAAAACAAAATTAAGAAGTATATTGAGGCCTTGAGGGTGATAAGCCTTGTTTTTCCTTGTTGACCCTTGAAATTGGACCATCTATTGGACATTCTTAAATGTATAGTTTTTTTTCTTTTTGTCAACTACCACCCACTTTATATTTGAGTCATGGTTTTCCTTTCGAATCCGTATCATTGTCATTATTGTTCTTCATATGAGTGTCTGCAACTCCCATATTTAATGTTTCACGAATAGCTAAAGAGATCTTATTTATACTCATTAGTTAATTCTAATCTTCATGGCATTCATGCTCCATTAATTTATTATGAGGACAAAAAATTTCTACCTTTTATCATCTTTAAATGATGTCTCCTCATCTTGGCAACTTCCATCATCTTAAACTTCACGTTCCTTCTTTGATTGCATATCGAAATTTCATCAAACACCACTCCTACCATGCTTCTGAGCCATATCTAGATAACATGTCCGGTTCAAAGTTGTTTCTTCTTCTGTAATATTGCAAACCCTTTCAGGCAAAGCATCGAATGCCTTTGCTCTAATATCATTTTTTATCCAAAAGTTCCTCTGAAGCTAACTACCAAGATTTCCCCTTCCACCACCATCTTCTCTATAAGCACCGCCACCACACCTGTTGCACGAACAACATCAAAGAATAATAATCAACAATAGCCAAAGTGGTATTAGGCTCCACAGCATCCTTCAACATGCTTACTTCCTCTTGAATTTCAATCTTTCCACCTATAGATCTATATATTCTCCAATCGAATAATTTGGGGAGCTTTCTTGATTAACACTTCAAAACCTTCCTAGAGAGTTGAGCAACTGAACGAAGGTAATTCTCATTATACAAATTAATTGACAATAGTGGAAAATTAATCCAGACAAGAAGAACTGAGGGCTCCCATCCTAATTCCATTGAAATCCATTTGAACAAACAAAATAGAAACTCCCTGGTCTTGAAAGATTCCCTCAACCAAACCTTGAGAAACTCGACTTCACTGGCAAACCTAATCAGAACATGCCGAGAGTCAATAGTCGTGAGTGACCACCATGCACACCCACTTCAACCTTGAAAGATCAAACAAGAAACTCTCTTATTTCCACCATAGGTGGTCTATCATGAACACATTTTTCAACTAATGCATACTAGAGAGGGGAAAAAGATATTTCGATCTCATCTTCAGTGAAAAGAATAGTCAGTTCTCCT